GGTCCCTTCCAACTGAAATAGTCTATTCTAAATGTATGGTTTGCTGGTGGTCAAAATCAATTAGTAGAGGAAAGAAAGCATGAAGGGTTTGCAGAGCAGAGATATACATCCTCTTTAAATATAGATGAACTATATACAGTCTGAAGAAAGTAAAAATAAGTAGTTAATCTTACTGGTCAGAATGCCTCATCTACTAATATTTGTTTTTTACGAGTTGTGGGCTTTTGGTAGGGGGTGTATGTATATAACTTCTCTTGGTATGCTCAGTTATCATCCTATATGACTTAATCAGCTGTTGTTCAGAGTGCAAAAACTACATTTGGCATAGGTGCTGAAAAAGAGCAGTCTGTGGTGGAAAAAAAGTCATTAGTTTTCATGATGTATAGAAATGAATAATTTAGCAGCTTTGTGACTACTTTAAAAGACTTTACCTGGCGGCATAAAAAAAAAAAAATTGCATACTTAATTTTACTTTAAGCTGTTATTCACTAGAAACTCGGATGTCGCCTCTAGTTTTACTGACATATTTAAATTATCTGAGAGACAAATGGATGTTATTTATCGATGTTCTTATTAAACTTATGTATTATCACTTCTTAATGTGCATGCTTGGTATCTTTTGTGGTGCACATCTATATTGTACAAAAACATTTTTTGTGAACTCAAAATCTTTATCTAGAAGCCACAGAAGCAGTTTCATTGGACAGTCCAGAGAGGGATTCAGTACTTTCAGCAGAACCTACTCCTTCAATCACTTCTGTAACACCTACTACATCAGTAGCTCCCAGAATGGAATCGAAAAGTGTAACAGCCCCTGTGATTTTTGATAGATCCAGAAAAGAGGTACTGAGAAAATTTTTAAGTTATATTTTGACAACTATGGAAATGTCTTGTTGGGGGGGGTGGGGTGGTGGTGTGGTATAGTGCGTGTTTGTTATTTTTGGTTTTGTGTTTGTTTTTTTTTTAATGCAGTTCCTAAATTACTCACAGGATCATTCTTTGGTAAAGGGAAGTATGCAAGAGAATAATTGTTCTGTTTATTTTGTGTTTAATATGTATTTGACTCAATATCATGAGTATTCATTGCTTAGGTGATGAGAGATCTGTAGTGTGAGGAGTAACATGCTCCATTCCTACAGGACAGGTATTGTAAAAGGGTGTGAAGGGAGCAATTGTTGAGCTAGATGGAAGAGAAATGTTTAAGATGTGTATTAATTCATACTAGCATGTTACAGGTTTTAATTTGGATTTCTGAAGGTGTTGTTAATGAGGAAATGGAGGAAACAGTTGTTAGCATTATTCTGTATACTAACAAACAGCTGAGGCTGGTCATAGTTTTACCATTTAATTTGCTATTTACATTTGGCATTCCATTCAAAGTCTGTGCATTGGCAAATACCATTCATTCTAGAATACACTCCTAGAAAATGTCACTGGTGAATGAGGTTTGGCAAACAAGACTTGCCTGGAACTCGATGACGGCTGCTTCCCCAGATGTCCTAAGCTGACATTTCATTCTGATTTTCTTCCTCTTCAACCTTGGCACACTGTCTGTTCTGCCATGGTGTTTCTTAACTACTTCTGTTCTATCAAACTTATGTATATTGCATGAAAGATTAGGAAATTCTGTGATCACAGAATTTCAAGTATCTGAAAATTCTATAGTTGTTGCTTTCCCTATCCCTAACTCTTCAACTACAGATACCATTAATAATGAGGAATATATCTGTCTTTTGATTAGAAGCTTATAGAAACATTGCAAGTGAGAGCATTTTTTAACCTCTGTGCCTGATGGAATTGGAGGAGATAAAATGAGTATTTCCCCAAGATAAATGTTTACTAAAACTCTGAGGCCAACAAGTCTGAAGAAGAGGTTGCCACACTAAAAAAAAATTTCAGGAAGGCTCAAAATTAAAAACCAAGATGTGAAATTATGTTTACTTAAAATTGGATGGTGGGTCTAGAAGAGCTTTTTAGTCATTGAGACATACTGACTCTTCCTTCCCCTATATCCTTATCTTTGTACCCATACATAGTATGAATGCATATTAACTTGTTAAATATGGCATACGTTCTTTTCTAGATTGAAGAGGAAGCAAATGGAGATTTGCTTGATATAGAAATCAGTGTATCAGACCCAGAGAAAGTTGGTAAGTTACTTGAACCTAGTAAGTCATATGTTAGGCTGTCTTACCTCTTAGAGACTATTCTGAGATTTTAGTGTAATTCCTTATTCAGTTATCTTTTGATAGTTTTTAGTATGTAAATAAAAAGCTATTTAATATGTATTTTGGAAAACAAAAAGTGTGTGGAGGGATTAAAGTAACTTGCCTTAGGATAAGTATTTTAATTTTCTTACAGGGGATGGCATGAATGCTTATATGGCATACAGAGTAACAACAAAGGTAACTAGTGCAACAAATACATTTACAAATAACTTTATATCACAGCTGGGGACATGTATCAGTAAGTCATAGCTAAAATGACTTTTTTTTTTTTTAGACATCCCTTTCCATGTTTCACAAAAATGAATTCTCTGTTAAAAGAAGATTCAGTGATTTCCTTGGCTTGCACAGCAAATTAGCAACGAAGTACATGCATATTGGTTACATTGTGCCTCCTGCTCCAGAAAAAAGTATTGTAGGTAAGTCTACTTTCTGTGAGGTTGAATGTATGCATGTGATTTCAGTACTATAATATAAATTAAATATTTTAATACCAGTTCTGCTTGTAAAATAAATATACATGGAACTTGGTAAAATGGTGGGACTTACTGTTATGTAAGCAAGCTTTCGGTGTGACTTAAGGTCCTAGTGTAGAGACTTTCTTTGGCTATGGATAAGTTGGGAAAACTCATGGACCCTGTAGGACCTTTCTCCAAAGAGCACAAAGCTCCCACTTTAAACTTGAACTGCCTACCCTTCAGTACTTGGGTGGTATTTAGTCCCATCTAAAAGCGTATAGTCCACATGCTTATAATTTTGGAGAGAAGAAGGAAAAATATAGTTTTCTAGGCTGAGGCATCTTAAAGCAGAGAAGTGGCAAAACAGCTGGAAGTAGATGACATGCATTTACACTACACACGTTTATTTTATTTTACTTTTTAAGTCTGAAGTCTTAATATGTAATGTCCTACTGTCATGTTTTAACCCTGGTAGGCAGCTAAGCATCACACAGCTGCTTGCTCGCTCCCCCTGCCGAGAGAATCAGAAGGGTAAGAGTGAGAAAACTCATGGGTTGAGATGATAAAGACAATTTAATAAGAAAAAAAGAAAGGGGGGGGAAACCCACAAAAAACCAACACATAAATAAAATCAAAACCAAGATAAACAAGTGATGCAAAAAAACCAAATGGCTCACCACCGACTGACCAGTGTCCAGCCAGTCCCTGAGCAATGGCAGCCCTGGCAACACACCCCACCCCTGCCCCAGTTTTTATTGCTGAGAGTGATGTCATATGGTATGGAATATCCCTTTGGTCAGTTGGGGTCAGCTGTCCCAGCTGTGTTCCCTCCCAACTTGTTGTGTACTCCCAGCCTACTCGCTGGCGGGGCAGTGTGAGAAACAGAGAAGTCCTTGATGCTGTGTTAAGCACTGCTCAGCAATAACGAAAACATCAGTGTGTTATCAAGGCCGTTTCCAGCACAAATCCAAAACATAGCACCATACTAGCTACTATGAAGAAAATTAACTCCATCCCAGCCAGACCCAGTACAATCTCCGCCCCTTATTCCATACCGTTTACATCATGCTCAGGTCTCACGCTATCCAATCCATCATTAACTACCACCACCCTTCCCATCCTTTGATATATACACAGATATCGTTCCCTTAGTCTATGGGCCATCCCTGTAAAATGTCCATAAAATGCCGATAAAAATTTCCGTTGAGTTCATTTACTCCATGACTTTGGGGTCCATCTGTTATGGTGGTCACTCAGGACAGGAGGGATGGTGTGTTGTGTTGGATTGTTGTCTAACAAATCCAGCTCAGGTTGCGTCACTGCTGCACTTGCCTGGTTCCTCATGAGATTCATTCTTCATTGGTTTGGGTGACTCCTGCTGTAATACCTTTGACATATGGCAGCCACAGCAGTGGTGACATACAGCATCATAAAACACTGGCATCATACAGCAAGCCCACAATGGAGGGATCTTCCGAGAGTCCAGGCAGGGTAGATAGCTGTTTAATCTTCTCTGTACTCAAGGTAGCTATACCAAAAGCCCACCTTGAAGTACCCTCTCCTGAGGTAGTCTATGCCAAGGATGCATCTGCCTTCCTGGCCAATCACAATAGGATGCTTTTGCCACTCATTCACAGTTAGGCTTACCTCAGCCTCCAACACAGACAGCTGTTTGGATCCCCCTGTCACTCCAGAAATACAGATGGGCTGTGTCCCTTTGTAACCTGATGGCATTACAGTACACTGTGCACTGGTGTCAACCGCAGACTTGTACTCCTTTGGGTCTGGTGTACCAGGCCATTGAAACCACACAGTCCAGTAAACCCGGTTGTTGCTTTCCTCCACCTGGCCGGAGGCAGGGCCCATTTATTCATGTTCGGAGGAATTCATTACTTGATTTTTGTAACTGCAAACCAGAAGTCCCTTCATCAGGGTCAGAAGTAAGATCAGCCCTTCTACTCTGCCCAATAGAAACTGATTTGGGTATTGGGAAAAAAAGAAGACAAACACTTAAGGAAAACACTTTTCTTCTCCCTTTCCCAGGCTCAACTTCAGTCCAGACACCTCCCATCCCCCCTTCATAGTCTCTACTCCCCTTGTACTGGTGCATCATACACTCAGTCCCTTCACAGTGAGGCCACAGGTGGTGCAGGAGGTTGGGGTCAGGACACAGCAGTTTCCTTCTGCCACTCCTTGTTCCTTACTCTTATCTTCTGCTGCTCTTTCCTTTTACTTGTTTCCTCTGCCCCGGCATGGGTTCCTCCACAGTCTGCAGTCCCTTCAGGGGTGTACCTGCTCTGTCATGGAGTTCCCCCTACTGCTCTGGCCTTGTTTCTTTTTTCTCTTGATATTTACCACCCTTTCTTAAATATGTTTTCATAGAGGCACCACAAACTTCTCTGTCTCAGCTTTGGCCTGTGGTGGGTCCATTG